ACCAAGTGTCCTTGAATGAAGAATGAATATGAAGAGACCCAGAAAGAAGAAGGGGAAAGTCAGGAAGTCAGGGAAAGAATGCGATCAGATGGGAGCCGAGTCCTTCCACTTATGCCACACCTCCGTCCCCATGTCCTTCCACCCTCCTCTACATCCTTCCTCTCCAAACACCATGTCCTCCTCTATATTCTTCCTCGAATTATTCCAGGCGCTTCAAAACCACTCATGAAATCCCCCAGCTAGGACTAGTCTTCTGTAAACAATTTGCTTTGCACAGATGTGTTTCATAAAGCAGGATAGACAGCCATCAGTGGGTCATGCCTGCAATCCTGGTTCCTCGGGAGGCTGAGATATGGAGGATCGAGGTTCAAGGACAGCCTGGGTACATAGTTCAAGAGACCCCCATCTCCAAAATAATCAAAGCAAAATAGACTGGAGGTGTGGCTCAAAAGCAGAATACTTGCTATACAAGCATGAAGCCCTGAGTTCAAACCCCAGTCCCACCAAAAAAAAAAAAAAAAAAAAAGCTAGGATGCTGAGCAACTGAATTAATTTCATGGTTCATGTAAACAATCAGCCTGAAAGTCAAATATGAAATATGCCTTAGTGCAAACTTAATCTCTCTCTTTTGCTCTCATTATCCCCTCATTCCTATGACCTAATTGAGGAATCACCTGCCCAAATTACTTTAATTCTGCCACTCTCACTGCCTAAGGGGCTTCTCACTTCCTGGGCTAGTCCCCTCTGGCTGTTCCCCACCTCGTCACCTGCAGATCCTGACCCAGTGCCTGACCCAAAGCTGTCCTCTCTGTTCCCGACATTCTTTGGGATACATCTGCACAGTGAAAGGAGGGGTACTACAGTTCGAAAGGGGAATATGACATCCTTCCCTGTGTGCTTAAAGTCTTTGGAGAACAATAAAGCTGACATTGTAGAAGCCCAAACCGTCAGACAGGAGGGGACCGGGGTGGCCAAGGAAGTGCACAGCCACCAAGTCTGGAACCCAAGGCCTTGTGCGTCCTAGGCAAGTGCTCTATCTACTGAGGCACACTCCCAGCAGGAATTATTTTCTTAATTTCTTATTTAATTAATCAGTTTTTTGAATCCCAGTCTCCTTATGTAGCCCAGGTTGACCTCAAACTCACAATCCTGCCTTTGCCTCCCGAGTAGGAACACCGGGATTACAGATGTGTACCACTTCAACTGGCTGTGTACTTTTGTTTTTTGGATTGCTCCTTGTTACAGTATAGAAATACAACCTTAGATATAAAAACAAAAAACAAAATGCAACCTTTGTGTGTACTGATTTTATATCCTGCAAGCTTGTTAAATTTATTAGTTCTAACAGATTTTGGTTTTTTTAAAGCAGTGCGGATGAACCCAGGACCTCACATGCCCTGTACCACACCCCCAGCCCTTTTTGTGGCATCGCTAGGGGTTTCTACATCAAGGATTGTGTCATCCGTGCACAGAGACAATCTTACTTCTTCCTTTCCTATGTGGATGCCTTTTACTTCTTCCTCTCGCTTCATTAATTGTTTTGGCCAGGACCCTCTGGCTACCTTGTCTAGATGTGGTGGGAGTGGCAGGTTCATCTTGTCCCTGGTCTGAGAAAAAAAAATTCCCACTTTATTTGGCAGTACCAGGGTTTAAACTCAGGGCCTTGCTGTTGCTAGACCAGCACTGTAGCACTTAAACCAAGACCCTAGCCCTATTCCAGACACATTTGCACACACTTCCTGTGCAGAGGCCTCCTGATGGCCACGCCCTGCCCTGGTTATCTTCTGACTCCCTTGAAGGGCAGGGGTGTCCACATCTCCTCACATCACTCCTCTTTACATTCTCAGTGCAGTACAGCTTTCCTTCCTGCCCTGGGGACCGTGCCCACCTCCAGCCCCAGGTCAGCTTGTGTATTTACTATTCTTTTCTGCAGGGCTGGGGACAAAACCCAGGGCCTCATGCATTTGAGACTGGTGTTCAGGCAGCCTGGGACAAAACTTGAGTTCCAAATGAGTGAAACACCCACACATCTCTCTTTCTCAATCCCTCATTTCGCCCTCACCAGTGCTGTGCCATGGGGCTGGCCACACTCACCCTCAGTAGACTTCAGGCATTTTATAGATGGCTGCTGAGCCACCACCTCACCTGAGTGGGACTCACTTCAGCCTGGGCAGCTGCTCCCTCTCTGCTGCCTGCCAGGCCAAAGGCCATCCCTAGCTGTCTGGGCTCTTGCTTTGGCCCCAGGCTGGACTCACAGGGCAGAGACCTATTCTGGAGAGAGCTTCCTGGTGAATTAGAGGTGGGAAACAGGACAGGGGAGGGAGGAGGGCTGTCTATTGCCCTGGATTCTGGAGCAGCCTTGCCCAGCTCAGCCAGGAGCTCTCAAGCACAGTGGATTCTAGGGCTCAGCTCTAGGGCAGGGTGCAGGCTAGCATGGAGCAGGCCTGGGTCCTGCAGCACCAGGCTAGACAAATAACACTGCAGCACAAGGCTAGACAAATAACATTGCAGCACAAGGCTAGACAAGTAACACTGCAACACAAAGCTAGACAAATAACAAAGAAAAGCCAGGTGCCAGTGGCTATGCCTGTAATCCTAGCTACTCAGGAAGCAGAGATCAGGAGGATTGAGGTTCGAAGCCAGCCTGAGCAAATAGTTTTCAAGACCCTATCTCGAAAAACCCATAACAAAAAAGGGCTGGTGGAGTGGCTCAAGGTGTAGGCCCTGAGTTCAAGCCCCGGCACCAAAAAAAAAAAAAAAAAAAAAAAAAAAACAAGGCATTACACAAAGGCTACTGCCTACTTGGAAGAAGGAAGGAAAAGGCAGGTCTTCCTTAAAGAGATGAAAGCATAAAAAGAAGGGAAAAAGTACAGTTGCAACTCAAAGGGAATGGAAGAAAACATCCAACCTTGTATAGTGTTTACTATGCCACATTCTCTATATCCACTTACTTAATCCTCACAAAAACCTGTGATCTCTTTATGGCTTGGTGGGGATCAAATGGAAGTTCCAAGAGCGAGCAGCAGAAAGTACTGTGTCCTTGAAGCAACACAGGATGCAGCCAGGGTGGCAGGAAGACGGTTGGGGAAGCTGTCCTGGAGCCCTTGGCTGAAGGGACACCACAGTGATGTGCACTCCAAAGCCAGTGTGGCCCTGACATCTGGTTCAGGAAGAAATCCCTTCCTGTTGGGGAGGACAGAGGGCTCTGCAGTGTGCATGTACTTTGTTCCAGCTATTTAGGGAGACTGAGGCAGAAAGATCCCTTGAGCTCAAGAGTTCAAGGCCAGCCTCAGCAACATGATGGGACCTTGTCTCAAAATAAATAAAAAAAATAAAAGCCCACTGACTCACAAATTAAGCTTGTGTCTTTTTTTTTTTTCTTGGTAGTGCTGGGGTTTGAACTCGGGCTTCACACTTGCCAGGCAGGCACTCCGAACTTGAGCCACTCCCCCAAGCCCTTCTGCTCTGGTTATTCTGGTTATTTTGGAGATAGGGTCTCACTTTTTGCCCTGGCTGGCCTGGACCAAGATCCTATTTTACATTTCCTGCAGCTTTTTTCTGTTGAGATGGAGTCTGGCAAACTTTTGCCCTGGCTGGCTTGGAGCCACAACCCTCCTGATGTCAGCCACCCTCTAGTTTGGGATGATAGGCGCATGACACCACACGCAGCTAAGTCTTCTAATTTTTCTAAAGGCAAACCAAACTAAAGAGATTCTGATTTTTCTTTTGTTTTGAAAAAAATATAGTATATGGATAAAGCAATGGAATTCAGTGGGGACACATAAATGTTGCAACAATAACTAGAACTTGCTTATCCTTATAAACTTCCCCCAGGTGACTGCTAATTATCTCATGTGACCCTGACATTGAACCTGGCTGAAGAGAAAAGACACAAGTAATGTTCTATGTCCTTTACAGGCTGGGAAAGATAAATTTACTAGCCCTAAGGTCTGTTTGATGGGACCCCTAACTGCCAAACACTATGCTTATAAATTTCTGCCTCTGGCTTAATCCTACTTTTCTTTCCAGAGTTCAGTTTTGCTTTCTTTTTCCTGCCTCTTCTCACAGCTTCCCTAGAACCCTGCAGAGAGGCTGGAAGCCACAGCTTGGGGGCTCATTCCTGGGGCCTCCCAGACCAGCAGGCAAGCTTCTCGCAGGTGCCTTTTATTTATTTACTCCTTTATTTTTGGGATGCTGGGAATGGAAGTCACGGCCTTGCACATAGGGGCTCTACCACGGCACCCACCCCCAGCATGATCCCCAAGAGACCGGGAGTCTTTTCTTTAGCCCTCTGGCTGAGGCGCCCAGCGTCAGTAGGAAAAGCCCTGTTTAGTTGACTTTGCCTAGCCAGAGGAAGCCGCCCTTCTGCTTGTTTGACTTTCTCCTACAATCAATATTTATGTCCAGAGCAAGCTCTGGGTCAACTGATTCTAGAGATGGTTTTGCTCGTAATTCATCCAAGCAGCGCTGGATCCCACGAAACAAAGTAACACTGGTGGTGTACTTCCTGAAGTCTTTATTTCAGTTCCTCACTGATTAGTTTCTAATGCGATTTCAAAGAACCATTTAAAAAGTATATGCAGGAGAAATGACCCAAACATTGTATGCACATGTGAATAAAATAAAAATTAAAAGAAAAAAAAAGTATATGCACCCGAACTTGACAGAATGTCCACAGCTCCCTGGAGGCGGACAGGAGAGGGGAAGTTCCCAGGGTTTCTATTTCCCTTGGCCGGCAGGGGAAGGAGCTCCTCATGGGCGGTTAGAGAATTTAAAAGGACAGTTGTTATTTTTCTTTGGACACCGCAAAGAGACATGGCAGCTTCACTTCAGGGGAAGGTTTCGAGCTTCCCACTGTGGATCCGCGCCCCAGGCACCCAAGCCAGGGCTTCAGGGGTTAAGCGCCTATGTCACATCAGCCGTTCCAAGCTCCTCCTCCCACAGTGAGGTGAAGACTTTTGAAAATCACCCCACTGCAAACTCCTCCCCCTGCTAGAAACCCCACATTGAAATGCCGCAAATGACTCGGGCCGCGTGTAGTGCGGTCCACGCCCGGCCGAGCAGAGCTTGAGCTTCGCGGGCCGTGCAGGTCGGGTCTGCGGCACGGGGCACAGGCTGGGAGCATGAGGACTTCTCACCAGGGGCTGCTGTGGGCCGCTGCCCTGCTCCTCACTGCTGCTGGGGCTGCAGGTAAGGCTTGTTCCCGAGGCCCCTGGGTAAGGAACAGTCCCAACTCCGGGAGTTCCTTGGGAATTCATTTGGTAGGGAGGAGTGAAAAAGAATTGCCCCTTCCATAGAAGACTTATGACAACAGTGCACGAGGGAGCGCTGGGGGTGCCAGAGTTTACTGGAGTCTTGGTGGGCTCGGGAAAACGGGGCGTGGCTTTCCCAAGTATCTATCAGGTGGGGTTCCTTCCCCAGTGTTCCTCAGCGCGGGATGTGGGGATCCCCAGAACTAAGAGTCATTCATAAGTCATTCTAGGGGTGAGAGTGCCCCGAGGCCCAGCTGTTCAACCTGGAGGGTCCTGGGGGCATTCCCCACGTCTGATCGCAGCAGGTGTTACCGCAGCACCCAGATCAGCTTTGCCCAAGCGGGGATTCCACTGCCCGCACCCACCCACCCAGCCAGCGAAGTTTCCCCCTGTGCTCAAGCCCCGCCCTCAACTCCAGGTATCCGCCCTCGAACTCCCATTGGGCACGAAGGGAACAGGCGAGCCTCGAGCCACTCCCCTTGCCCAATAGGCAGGGGCAGGGGGCGTGACTTGCATGTGGGCGGGGCGGGGCTAGCTTAGAAGTTGAGCCTCACCTCCGGGACAAGGCGGGAGCTGGAGAGGCCTCACGCCTCGGGGCCAAGGCCCCTGTCACAAAGGAGACGACCCGTTTGTGGTCCTTGGGGCCACTTCTGTCAGTTCGGAGAGCTGCCCTCCGCCCCCCCATCATTCTCACCGCCCTGATTACGTTCACAGACACCGCCGCCCCTTAAAGGCTGCAATGTTGTTCTGAGGCCAAGACCTTCAGCAGGTCGGGGCAGGGCCGAGACCAGAGACAGCGACAATGGGAACGACCCTTGCGGTGGCCTCGTTTGTTCAGAGGCTCCAAATGACGCGTTTTCCTTTGGGGGGTGTCGAAGTGAAATTTGCACAAGAGGTAGTTGGGGGGTGAAAGTTACTATTTCTTAGGTGACTTTAAATTCACTGCTCTGTGGTGGTCACCTGGCCCTGGACAACAGCTAAATGGCCCTTTCCCTACTTTGAACCTGCTCAGCCTGTAAAAGTACTGGGATTGCCCAGTGAAGCCTGCTGTAAGAAGCTCTTTTAATTCGCTGGGGACTGCCTTTAGTGCGGGGAGAGCCCTGAACTGTGAACCCCTATCCCCTGGTGACACATCAGTTCCTGTGGGAGGGAAGCCAGGAGCCAGGATGATGTATAAAGTGAAGAGCTCCTGGTGTGGCCAGAGGCACCAGGCTAACTCGTACCTCAATGCCTGGAGAACACGTTGCCACTGGGTTTCCCGAGTCCTGCGGTGGCTGGGGATCTGCTCTGTCCTGTCTTCTCCTAAGGTGGCTGTTTCCCCCAGCTTCTGAGAGCCCATGAGACCTGGCTGCTCTGCACTGCTCCCTTAAAAAGGCACTTCTAGGGAATTTCTTGTCTGCTTCCTTTAAGAACGGAAGTAGCCACAATCCAAACTGCCCATCTTCACTGAGATAAAAAGATCATATCGGTCACCAGTTGTGTGCTTTGGCGACATGCCTGGAGAAATTTAGTTGTCACTAACTGCCTCATTTTTTTCCATGGGACAACTAGTAAAAAATAGTGAGCTCTCTTTCTTTCTTTTGGTGGGACTGGGGTTTGAACTCAGGGCTTTGTGCCTACATAGCAGGTATTCTATTGCTTGAGCCACACCTCCTTCCGTTTTGCTCTGGTTATTTTGGAGATGGGGTCTTGTCTTGTGAACTATTTGCCTAGGTTGGCCTCAAACCTTGATCCTTCCAATCTCAGCCTGCCAAGTAACTAGGATTACAGGTGTGAGCCACAGTTTTCAGGCTGGCCTTGAACTCATGGTCTTCCTGCCTGGGCCTCCCAACTGCTAGGATTACAGATGTGCCCACGCCCACCTTGGGTAAAGTGATTATGATTTAAAAACCTTTAGTAGGAATTGTGTTCCTTATTCTTTCTAGGCAGTTCCTTCTCTTATCTTTAGGGCTCTGATAAAATTCTAGCTGCTTCTGTTGCTTGGTGCTTTGATTGGTCTTCTGATGTCCCCTTTCTTTTCCATACTGCGTACATTACCATCCCCACTCTTCCGGAACAGGAATGTCAAGCAAATGGCCTTTGTTCTAAGTGACTAGAATTATTTACCACAGAACAGTTAAGATACCCCTCCCAAAACGGCAGGTGACAAAATTTACCTACCCTTTTTTGGGAAAGAGCACTGGTTTATAGATTTTGGGGGGGGGGGAGTTGTTTGTTTTGTCACTATTGTTTGGTGGTTTTTTGATGGGGATGGAACCCAGGACTATAGGTGTGCCCTATATGGCCAGGCTATACCACCCAACAAGGGTTTTTTTGTTGTTGTTTGGATCCCAGCCTCCCAAGTAGCTAGGATGACAGGCCTGAGTCATGGGCACCCAGCTACTTTTTTTTTTTTTCCTCCCCTTTTTAGACAGACTGGGTCTCATTATGCTGCCTAGGCTGTGCCTCAGCCTCCTACATAGCTGGGACTTCAGGCCTAGTAGCCAACTGATTTCTCATGCATTCACATTGTAGTGTTCCCAGAGGATTTTCTCTTTGCAAGGAAACAGTGCTATCAACTATTTTGATTTCTCTGTACAACTGTCTTCAGTAGTATGGGAAATAAAACATTGAAAGCATAACCACCTCATTTGCGTGCTGGTCAAAAAGCAGAAACATGTATTCTCCTTTTCTGTTTCGATGACCTTGTTCCTGACTTGTCACTCATGACACTGAAGACCTGAGTGCTGAGTTTATACAGATATTCCGTTCTCTTGGTTTTTGAGACTGGATCTGCTATGTAGCCCAGGCTGGCCTGGGACTCTTTCAGTACTGGGGTTTGAACTCAGGGCCTCATGCTTGCTAGGCAGGCACTCTACCACTTGAGTCACTCTGCCGGTCCTTTGTGTGTGTGTGTGTGTGTTGAATATGTTCGAGACAGGGTTTCAGGTGGCTACAAACCTTGATCTCCTGATCTCTGTCTGCCTCCTGCGAAGCTAGGGTTATACGAATGAGCCACCCTCGCCTGCCCTGGCTTGTTTTGAGGGAGGCAGGGTACTTACGCAATTTTAGCATCTCCAGGTTAAGGAGACATGGAGATCCCTGCTCTGGTTTGCTTTTTGCAGAGGTTTAAATGAACTAATGCTGAAAACCCAAATATTGCTTGAAAGAAGAAAGAAGTATACTCATGTGGTTGGTAGAATGCATGCCTAGCAAGCACAAGGCCCTAAGTTCAAATCCCAGTATCGCCAAAAAAAAAGAAAGATACGCAATGTCTTTGGGTTGTGATAGTTGGAACAGGATGAGTTCTACCCCCCTGGACAGGAAGGGCTGTGCTCTGGGATCCCTGAAGCACTGTCTGGGATTCCTTCTTTCCTGAGCCTTGTTCCCTCCAGCCATGCTATGAGGACTTATTTTGCAGGTGGTTATCTGGCTGTACCTGTAGGAGTAAAACCCACATTTTTTTTGGTGGCACTGGGAATGGAACCTAAGACCTTGTGCATTCTAGGCAAGAGCTCTACCACTAAGCTTAAACTCCAGCACCTTAAGATCCACTTTTAAAACATGACTGGCAGAGTGGCTCAAGTGATAGAGCTCCCAAGGCTCTCAGTTCAACCCCCAATACTGCCCAAAAGAAAAGTAAATAAATAAATAATGGGCTAAGGCACAGCTCAGAAGTAGGGCACTTGCCTAGCACCCAGGAAACCATCATGGGTCCATCCCCAGCACCACAAAAAAAAAAAAAGAAATTGTGTGGAAGGTGGTTTGGCCAACTCTTGGATCACCTCTTCTGACAGTAAGGTCATGACTGGGTCTTCCTGCTGTACAGTATGGGGCACCCTGCAGCTAAAGCTGGAGGATTATAGCTATTGAGGGAGAGTTTCCTGCTCTTTGTCCTGCATTCAAGCCCCACCAGGTGGCACTGATAATACCAGTCCTTCCACTGGCACTTGTGTTTGTTTGCAAAATATGCAAAGGTGAGAATGATAGATTAATGGTCACCCCAGCTGCAGTGGCCTGATGGGGTGACAGATGCTCCTCCCTCAAGATCTTTTTTTGTTGTTGTTTTCCTGAGATAGGGGCTCACTGTGTAGCCCAGGTGGCCTTGACCTTGCAATCCTCCTGCCTCAGCCTCCTGAGTGCTGGGACTACAAGGGTGAGCCACCACACCCGGTTTTCCCAAGATCTCTATTGCCAATGTCCTTTGCCTGAACTTCCCTTTTTATTTCTCCTGAGTGTCCTGGAATCCTACTCGCTTCTGCCCGGCCGGTGTGTAAGAAAATGAGTCACTTCCTCCTTTCCTCACAGTCACAACTGAGCTGTGAGTCACTGTTCAAGCACCAATTAGGTCCACATGCTGTTCCCATCAGCAGTTGGGCAACACAGCTACCAGAATCTTTTGACCACAGCTAACTGAAAAGCCCAACTCATTCTCTTCTCCCTTCCCTCCCTATTTCTACCCCTGCACCTATCATTTGGGGTTCCAACTGTGGCCATCTTGCAATTTAGTTACAAGGATTCTTGTAAATCCTTCCAGTTCTCCATCTTTACCACCTCAGGCCTCATTCTTACCTAACCTGCTTCCTAACCTCTGCCAGCGTTATTGGACTTAAGTTTGGAAGCCCCAGTATTTCCTTTCTTTTCTCTTTCTGTCCTGGGGACTAAACCCAGGGCCTTGTGGATGCTAAGCAGTTGCCCTACCGAGCTCTGCCCCAATCTTGTTTTCTTTTTCTTTTTTGCTCATTCTGGAACTTAAACTCAGGGATTCATGTTTGCTAGGCAGGCGGTCTATTGCTTCAATCACATCTATCCATTTTATTCAGGTTAATTTAGAGATAAAGTCTCAAGAACTATTTGCCCTGGATGGTCTCAAACCTCGATCCTCCTGATCTCTGCCTCTGAGTAGCTAGGATTACAGACGTGAGCTATAGGCGCCTGGCAATCACATAATTTTCTTTGTTTCTTTGTTTGTTTCTTTCTTTCTTTGGTGGAACTGGGGTTTGAACTCAGGGCTTTGCACTTGCAAAGGAGGGACTCTACCACTTGTGCCACACCTCCAGTCCGAATAAAGCATTCCTAAAAATGAAGAACGGGGCCAGGGGTGGTAGCGCACGCCTGTATCCCAGCTCCCGGCACTTGGGAGGCTGAAGCAGGAGGATTGTAAATTCGAGGCCAGCCTTATGTATATATAGTGAGATACTGTTAACAACAACAAAAAAAATCCTAAATCAAATCATAAAGGGCAGCCCCTTTGCCATGATTTCCTATACCGACCTACAGATACAAACAGGATCACACGGAACTGTCAGGAACAGGGCTTTCTCCACAGTCTTATGTGTCAGCTTTCACGTCGGCAAGCGGATGACTGACGTCATCATTCCCGTTGCTGTGGAGGAGCCGCGTTGTTACAGAATTTACTTACATATTAACATACACTTCATTTACAGGAATATATATAATATAAACATAAAGAAAGGTGTATTTAGCTCACGGTTCTGAAAGGCAGGAGCCCAAGACTCGGTTACCGCAGCTGACGTGGGCATCACGCACCCGATAACACCAAGGAAAAGTAGAAGAGCGAGCTGCGCATGCGGAATAGAGAAGTGGGCGGTGTGACCTCACTTTATAGCGCCCTGCTCGCGTCTCAGGTCTCGCGAGAACTGCATTGCTCTGCCTTAAGGACCTACCTGGTCACTTCTTAATGCCTCACCACTTTTCCACTGACCCGCTAGGAAATTTCATTGTGACTTTTGGAGGGCATGAGCTGCGTTCTAACCCATAGCATGTTTATATTTGTCTATTGGACACATATATAACTATTAAATATATGTAAATGTAAATATGTCTATGTATATGTCCACACTGTAGCATGCAGTGCGGGAGTGAGCTCGGTTTAGCAGAGGCTCCAGTGCCTTTGGTGATCTGAGCTCAGAATCTCCGCCCTTTTCCTAGTGGGGAATTAGGCTCCACCTTTTAAAGGGAACATTACTGAAATTTATGATCATGTTTTCAAACTACTACTGGTATTTCCTTTTGGGGGCCAGGTGATGGGCAGGCCAAACTTTTTTTGTTTTGGGATTTTTTTTGTTTTTTTTTTGGTGGTACTGGGGTTTGAACTCAGGGCTTCCAGCTTGCTAGGCAGGTGAGCTACCACTTGAACCATATCTCCAGCTTGTTTGTATTTTTTTGAGATGGGGTCTTATATAGCCCAGACTGGCCTCAAACTCATGATCCTCCTGCCTCAGGCTCCCCAGTGCTAGGATTATAAGTGTGTGACACCTCACTCAGTCTGATTTTTTTTTTTTTTTTAATTAGTGCTGGGGATGGAACCCAGGCTTCCAATATTCTAAGCTCATGCTCTACCACTGAGCTCTACCCCTGGCCCTAACCACAATTTTCTGCATACCTATTGAATCTAATGATTGTGACTGTGTCAGGCATTGGACTGAGACATGTCTTCCTATAAGCATGACAAAGACATCTCTTACCCTCAAGGAGTTTAACTCAAGTTGGTCTGGTGGACACATAAGCCTGTCATTTCGATATACTGTGATAGGAGAGGTGGATACACCTGTAAGCACAGCTATGCAGGAAGCAGATTAGGAGGACTGCAGTCAGAGGCTGACTGAGTAAAAACACCACACCTTATCTAAAAATAACTAAAGCAAAAAGGGCTGGAGGCGTGCTTCAAGTGGTAGAGCGCCCTCCAGTGCTGCCCCCACAAAAAGTCCTGCTTTCACATGGCTTCCTATATAGACTTATTTTTCCCCAGATTCTCCATAAATAATAGTAATAATTTATTATTCTCGGAGCTGGGGAACTCAGGGCCTCATGCATGCTAGGCATGTTCTACACCCCTAACCCTTCGTCTGTTGTGTTTCTTTGTGTGAGTGTGTGTGTGTGTCTTATTACCTTATTTATTCATAAAGCATACTGAGATCAGATATCATAACTTGTTTTGGGCTCTACACAAAAAGTCAAAGTTTGTCCTGAAACCCCTTGGTATCTTGGGGTTTGGTTCCACAACCTCCCTCAATACTAAATCCAAGGAAGCTGAAGTCCCTGGTATGAAAAGGTTCATTTGCACAGAACCTTGGCACATCCTCCTGGAGACTTTTTTTTGTTTGCAGGACTGGGGTTTGAACTCAAGGCCTCACCCTTGCTAGGCTGATGCTCTACCTCCTGAGCCACTCTACCAGCCCATTTTTTTGGATGTTGTATATTTTTGAGATAGGATCTCATGAACTATTTGTCAGGGTTGGCTTTGAACCCGCGGTCCTCCTGATCTCTGCCTCCTGAGTAGCTAAGATTACAGGCGTGAGCCACCGGCGCCTGGCTGTTTTTTTCTTAGTGATGAGTGTTGAACTCAGGGACTTGTGATTAGAAGGAAGGCATTCTACGGCTTGAGCCACACTTCAGTCCATTTTGTGATCCTCCTGATCTCAGCCTCTCAAGGAGTTAGGATTACAGGTGTGAGCCACTGGCACCTGGTAAATCCCCCTTTCCCCCTACCTTTTTTTTTTTCCTATGTTGGAGATAGGATCTGGATTTACGCTCTGGCAGGCCTGGACTGCAATCCTGTTTTACACTTCTCATGTATCTGGGGTGAGGGGCGCTTGCCACCATGCCCAACTTTTATTAGTTGAGATGAGGTCTTGTGAACTTTTTGCCTGAGCTAGCCTCAATCCTCCATCTTCCCAATCTCTGCCTTCCAAGTAACTAGGATTATAGGCGTAAACCACCATGTCCAGTCCTAATAAAGATTTTAGTAAACCAAGTAATTTTCCTTTTCTTATTAATGTGCAGAGAAATTCTACTATTTTTTTCCCTTACCTAAGTGGATCTATACTTGGCATTCAAAACTTTCCGCATGGTTGAGAAGTTTCTGTCTTCAGTGTATTTTTTGCATCCTCCTCTCTACTTTTGGGATCCTGAGATTTTATTTGCTGTGATTGTTAAATTTCCTGGGAATTGGACTGCTACAGAGAGGATTGTATTTCTGGTTAATTCTTTGGTTAAGTAGGAAATAGACCTGGGAAATGTGACTGGTTCTGTTTCTGGGGCTGACAACACCTCCTTGTCCCCCTTCTCTTCTGTCACAGCAGAAGACAGGTGTAGCCGGAATGAGTTTCAGTGTCGGGATGGGAAATGCATCTCCAACAAGTGGATTTGTGATGGCAGCTCCGAGTGCCAGGACGGCTCTGATGAATCCCAGGAGACATGCAGTAAGTCTGGGGACACCGCCTGATCTTTTTTATTTTCCTGTCTTTTCTTTCCTTTTATTATTATTATTATTTTGCGGTGCTGGGGATGGAACCCAGGGTCAGGTGCATGCTAAGCAAGCATTCTGCCATTGAGCTGCACTCCCAGGCCTCCTGAGCCTGTTAGATAATGGTGGGTCCAAAACTGGTTAAGTAGAAGATGTTTCAGGTCGAGAATCCCTAACCCAAAATCCAAACTTCAAAACACTCAAACTGTGAGCCTACAAGGATGCTGGAAATAGGAAATTCCATACCTGACCTCACAGGAGGAATCACAGTGGAGCCAAGTGCCAGTGGCTCACGCCCGTAATGCTAGTTACTTGGGAGGCCAAGATAGGGAGGGTGGAAGTTTAAGACCAGCCAGGGCAAATAGTTCAGAAGACACTGTCCCAAATAACCAGAGCAAAATGAACTGGAGGTATGGCTCAAGTGGTAGAGCACCTGCTTTGCACATGTGGATGGAGCCTTGAGTTCAAACCCCAGTCCCAATAAAAACAAAAAAAAGAAGAACTGAAAAAAAACAGTGTGGCTTGGCACTGGAGGCTTATGCCTGTAATCTTAGCTACTGCAGAGATTAGCCCAAGGCAAATAGCTCCGCGCCCTATCTCAAAAAACCCATCACAAAAAAGGAAAGGGCTTGTGGAGTGGCTCAAAGTGTACACCCTGAGTTCAAATCCCAGTACCACAAAAAAAAAATCCCTGTTATCCCAGCATTTCAGATAAAAAATACTCAACCTATTTTTTTTTTCCTTCCTTTCTTCCTCTCTTCCCTCCCTCTCTCCTTCCTTCATTTCTTTCTCTCTCTCTCTGTTCTGGGAAGGAATCTAGGGCCTCACACATGTGGAACACACACTGTATCACTGAGCTACATACATCTCAGCCCCATAACTATTCTTTGTTTGATTGAAGAAAGTTTCAACTAACATTTTATTAACCAGTGAAGAGAATCAGTGATATTACAATATCGTGCAGTCCCGCCTCTAACATGGTCCCAAATCTTTGCATCATGTAATTTCTTTTTCTTTTCTTTTTCTTGTGGTACAGGGGCTTGAACTCAGGGCCTACACCTCGAGCCACTCCACCAGCCCTACTTTTTGTGTTGGCTATTTTTGAGATAGGGTCTCATCAACTCTTTGCCCAGGATGACTTCAAAAATGCGATCCTCCTGACCTCTGCCTCCTGAGTAGCTGGGATTACAGGCGTGAGCCACCAGCGCCCGGCTGTAATTTCTTTTTTGAGTCAATGTCCCAGTATGTAGCCAGACTGCCCTCAAACTTTTATTTCTCCTGCCTCAGCCTCCCAGGCAGTGGGATTACAGGCCTGTGCCACCACTCCCAGCTTTAATGTCTAATTTTTAACATTCAATGCCTTTCGTTCAGACCCAGAAAGGTGGGATTGGCACCATAATTCCACAATGTTGAGGAGTTCTCTTTTCCAGAGATGGACCCGGGGAGGCCCCTTGTCGTTCTTCTTGAGTCAAGGCTTAGTCCTGTTTTTCTTTTAGTGTCTGTCACCTGCAAACCAGAGGACTTCAGCTGTGGAGGCCGTGTAAACCGCTGTATTCCTAACTCCTGGAGATGTGACGGCCAAATGGACTGTGAGAATGGCTCAGATGAGCAAGGCTGTCGTAAGTGTCACCTGGTAACCCACACAGCCCAGGCCACGTGTGCAGGCGCTAAGGAGCTTCCCAGGTCCCTGGAGAGCAGGGAGCAATCAGGCCTCATCCCCAAGGTTGTCCCGGTCACACTGTGGGCTGGCTGTTCCTTTCTTGGCTATGTCTTTGGGGGTTCATTTCCAGCCCCTTAATCCCACCCTGAAGAGGAGGCATTGTGGGGGCAAGGAAAGATGGCGCCTCTATCGAGTGTCATGCAGAAGTCATTAAGGCTGTCTTTCCTGAGGGCTTGCCACCAGGTGTGTGGGCCACTGAGCTACTGGAACCACTGCTGGCCACCCTGTGATGGTGAACTTGTAGTTGGCCCAGACTCAGTGACCCAACAAGCAAGCCACGGAGCGGAGGAAGGTGACTCCCAGCTGGCGAGCTCAGCTAAGAAGCAAGGTCCAGCCAGGCATGGTGGCCACACCTGTAATCTCAGCCCTTGGGAGGCTAAGGGAGGATGATCCTGAGTTCTAGGTCAGCCTGGGCTCCACAGAAAGACCCTGTCTTAAAAACAAGACTGGAACTGGTGGTGTGGTTCAAGTGGTAGAATGCCCTTAGGAAGCTTAAGTATCTCAGGACTGCCCCAAACAAAAAAAACAAGACGGAAGCCCGGTGCTGGTAGCTCACACCTGTAATCCTAGCTACTTGGGAGGCTGAGATAGAGGCGATGGAGGTTTGAGGCCAGCCAGGCAAAATAGTTCTCGAGACCCCCCCATCTCCAAAATAACCAGAGCAAAATGGACTGGAGGCGTGGCTCAAGCGGTACAGCGCCTGCTTTGCAAAGTCCTGAGTTCAAAGTCCAGTACCACCAAAAAAAAAAAAAAAAAAACAAACTTGTGAGGTCTGTCTGTGTCTAGCACGCACAAGGCCCTGGACTCCATCCCCTGCATCACAAAACGAAAAAAGAAAGAAAAAAGTTTCTACACAGTTCATAAGCTTTATGTGTGGTTTTTCTGTGTTTCTGGAATTTTCGATGTGATATCTTCAGGCAGAGTTTCAGTGTAGGTAACTAAAAGTGCAAAGAGTGCCACTGTGGCTAACAGGACCGATTGTGTAATGAGGACCAGGAATCTGTAAACAGTGTCACCCTCGGCTGGGTACAGGCTAGGACCTTAACCTGTCACCTCTCCTGTGCTCACAGTGTCCTGAGGCACATATCAGTGAGGAAACTGAGGCACAGAAAGGAGTGGTTCAGACTCCAGGGCCCCTGCCCCATACTGCAGTGCCCATCCAGAGCTCTGTCACCTGGGCAAAGGCCCCATCAAGACACAAGTGTTCCCCATCTACAGAAAGAGCTGGGGAGTTAGTGGCTCCAAGTGACAGGGTGGTGTCTTTCCATCTGTTCCCACAGACCTCAAGACCTGCTCCCAGGACGAGTTCCGCTGCCAAGACGGGAAGTGCATTGCTCAGCACTTCGTCTGTGACAGGGACCGGGACTGCCTGGATGGATCCGATGAGGCCTCCTGCCCGGTGACCACCTGTGGCCCTGCCAGTTTCCAGTGCAACTCCTCCGTCTGCATCCCGGAGCTGTGGGCCTGCGACCATGACCCTGACTGTGAGGACGGCTCTGATGAGTGGCCACAGTACTGTGGGGACCACGACACATCCCAAGGGAACCAAGGCCCCTGCTCGTCACTTGAGTTCCACTGTCACAGTGGAGAATGTATACACATCAGCTGGCGCTGTGACGGCGGCCCCGACTGCAAAGACAAATCCGATGAGGAGAACTGCGGTATGGACCTGGGTGGGATTCTGTCACCAGTCCCCTGGATCCCCCAGGTGGAGGACAAGTGGGGGCTTTCAGTGCTTAGCAACTTCAAATTGCCCAGAAAAAAACTTGGTCCTTTTTTAGGCTGGCCTGGAACTCCTGATCCTGGGTGCTGGGATTATAGGTGTGGATTACCATGCCCAGCTTAATCTCCTTTTTATGACAAGAGGATACTAGTTTCCGTTACTATCATGAAATACCTGGGTCTGGGTGCTTTCTAAAGCAAAGAGGTTCATTTAGCTCACAGTTTTGGAGGTGCGTGGGCATATCCTGGCATTAGCTTGGCTCTGGTGAGGTCCTCACGGAGGATGACATCACTGTGATGGGATCGAAAGTGAGAGACAGAGATCCCATGATGAGACAGGAAGCCGGAGAGAGTGGAGAGGTCAGTAATGACCTCCCATAAGATCCTCGCCTGTTAGTGGTACTGCCACATTTTAAAATCACCACCATGTGACAAAGTAAATCCAGACCATAGAGCAGGAAGCAAGCCCCTAGCTGCGGTACCATTGGCCTAGAAAGAATCCTGGGTTCCAGAGGAAATACTGTGTTTTTTCTATTTTGTACAGATTAAGTTTAAAAAGCTTTCTTTTTTCCAATGGGACTGGGGTTTGAACTCAGGGCTTCGCACTTGCAAAGGAGGCGCTCTACTGCTCGAGCCACACCTCCAGGCCACTTTGCTCTGGTTATTTTGGAGATGGGGTCTCTTGAACTATTTGCCTAGATTGGCCTTGAGCTATGATCCTCCTAATCTCAGCCTCCCAAGTGGCTAAGACTATATGCATGAGCCACAGTGCCCAGCTTTTAAATTTTCTATTAATATTTTCACACACAGTTGACTGTGTATAACTAGAACTTTAAGCAAAGCTGCGTTTCTGTTTCTCTGGCTGCCTTTCCTTGCCAAAGTCAATGCCTTTTGTCCTTTGCAGCCGTGGCCACCTGCCGCCCTGATGAGTTCCAGTGCACAGATGGGACCTGTATCCACGGCAGCCAGCAATGTGACCGAGAATATGACTGCAAGGACATGAGTGACGAACTTGGTTGTATCAACGGTGAGTGCTGGCCTCCTGATGTTTGCTCCCATCTTTCAGGGCCTTGACATTGGCAAATGCTCCAGGTAAAATGCAGGGCACCTGCTGGGTTAGCTCTACATGCTTCCTGAACCTCACTTGCTCTTATCTGTAAAATGGGCAGAATAATAGCCCAATTCAGGACCATGGAATTTAGTAAGGTTGCTGGGCTCTGAACCTTGCTTTTGAGTTCCTACTTGCATATCCAGTCCAAATCCATAAAAGCACTTCCCCGAGGCACAGTGCAGCCCTTCTTCTCTCGGGAATGTCCTGAGGAGGCACGTTTTGATATGTTCGTGGCCACCTCTAATATAGAGACACTGGCAGTAGCCCCAGGCTGTTTAATATTTAAAAAAAAAAATTTTTTTTTGATGGTGCTGGGGTTTGAACTCAGGGCCTTATACTTATAGGCAGGTGCTCTACCACTTGAGCTATGCCCCCAATCCAATTTTTATTATTTTTCAAAATAGGATTTTTTTTTTTTTTTGGCAGCACTAGGGTTTGTATTCAGGGCCTCATGCTTGCTAGGCAGGCACTCTTACAGCTTGAGCCACTTCTCCAGCCCTCAAGATAGGATCTTGCTAACTTTGTCTGAGCTGGTCTTGAACTCTCAATCTTCCTGCCTCTACTTCCTGAGTAACTGGGATTACAGGCGTGGGCCGGCACTCCTGGTCTCACATCTATTCTCATGTCAGTAAAGGACCATGCGAGTTCTGACGGCTCAGACACGCCTGACCTTTCTCTGGGGCTCTTTGCAGTGACACTCTGTGAAGGGCCCAACAAGTTCAAGTGCCACAGTGGGGAATGCATCACCATGGACAAAGTTTGCAACTCAGTCAGGGACTGCCGGGACTGGTCGGATGAGCCCATCAAGGAGTGTGGTGAGTCCTGCCGGCAGGCAATTGGCAAAATTGTTGGGGGGCTGGGGATGGGACCAAAACATGAACGCTGAGGGTGGTGGAGGCTCCAGGCCACCCAACTCACGACAGCTTCAGGACTGGTGTCCACATCAACCCCGGGGAACTTTGGCCCCAGGGAAGGAAGATTGGGTTATTTATGGGGTGTCACTCAGTGGTAGAGCACTTTTTTCCGCAAAGAAAAAAAATGCATTGACATTTTGTGCAACCATCACCATCAACAAATTTTTGCATTTTGTACAAATGGAGCTCCACCCCCAGCGCAGTCACTCAGTCCTCTGCCCCAGTCCGCCATTCTACTTCCTGTGTCTCTAGGGAAGATCACTGGATGGAGGGACTGGTGAGGAGCCGATCGTACACAGTGGCTGGGTTCTTTCAGTCAGAACAATGTCCTTGGGGTTCATTATGTTCAAATGTGTGACAAGACCATTTGAATCCTCTGCTGATGGGTAAAGTCACCACCCAGTACTCTGTCAATGGAGTTTTGACACAGAGGATGCAATGGCGCGTGGAGCTCCAGCATCATCAGTCTGTGTCTCCCCATCCCCCCCATGTAGTCACCAATAAATGCTTGGACAACAATGGGGGATGTTCCCACGTGTGCAATGACCTCAAGATCGGCCACCAATGCTTGTGCCCCGACGGCTTCCAGCTGGTGGACCAGCGCAGATGTGAAGGTGATTGTTGAGCAGAACCAGGCTCTGGGCCTCTTCTGTCTTTTCCCTCTGCTGTGCCTCAGTTTCCCCGTAGGCTAAATGGGAGGGAAGTCAGTCCTCAATCTTTTTGGGGGTATTAGGAGGTCTGGCCTTTAGTAAGCACTTGCCTTTTGGGATTCCTCATTAAGAATTGTGACTCAACAGCTGGACATCAGTGGCTCACTTCTGTAATCTTAGCTACTCAGGAGGCAGAGATCAGGAAGGTCCTAAGTTCAAACCCCAGTACCACCTTAAAAAAAAACCCAAAGGGCTCAGGGTGTGGCTGAGTGGTATAGTCTTACCTAGCAATGCACAAGGCCCTGGGTTCCATCCCTAGCACCCCAAAAAACCTTTCTCTGACTCCACTCACAGATATCGACGAGTGTCAGGAGCCCAACACCTGCAGCCAGCTCTGTGTGAACCTGGAGGGCAGCTACAAGTGCGAGTGTGAGAAGGGCTTCCAGATGGACCCCCGCACCAGGGTCTGCAAGGCTGTGGGTAAGTGCAGGACAGTGGCGGACTGGTGGCCTTTTAGTGGGGAATCCCTGCACAGGTTAAACCCACCTGATAGCCAGGTGATGGTGGCTCACGCCTGTAATCCTAGCTACTTGGGAGGATGAAATCTGGAGGATTGAGGAGCAAGTCCAGTCCAGGCAAATAGATCATGAGACCCCCATCTCCAAAATAACCAGAGCAAAATGGGCTGGAGGTGTGGCTCAAGTGGTGGAATGACTGCCTAGCAAGTTCAAGGCCCTGAGTTCAAATCCCAGTACTGCAGAAAAAAAACAAAAAAAATACCCTGTTGAATACCATGATGGTTCCTGGGGCCTCGAGTGTTGAAACAGGGCAGTGGCCCTGTTTCTCTGGGTGTCTCTCCCCTGGCTCTCCCACTCCCTGCAGAGTGACTGGTTAGAGTAGAGAGGTGGCCTTGGGTCCCCTGAGGGGCTCCTTCCGCTGCCCTGACTGAACCCTTGGTTTCCTAGGTTCCATCGCCTACCTCTTCTTTACCAACCGCCATGAGGTCAGGAAGATGACGCTAGACCGCAGCGAGTACATCAGCCTCATCCCAAACTTGAAGAACGTGGTTGCTCTGGACACTGAGGTGGCCACCAACAGAATTTACTGGTCCGACCTGTCCCACAGGAAGATCTACAGGTGGGCCCCCCAACCCGAATCCCCCAGTCTCCAGGTGAGATGAATGAAGGCTCTGACGCTTCCCCTCCTCCCGCCTCAGCACCCAGATCGACAGAGTCCCCAGCATGTTCTCCTACGACACTGTCATCGGCACGAACCTGCAGGCCCCGGATGGGCTAGCTGTGGACTGGATCCACGGCCATATCTACTGGACCGATTCCATCCTGGGTACCGTATCCGTGGCTGACACCAAGGGTGAGAAGAGGAGGACGCTGGTCCAGGAGAAAGGGTCTAAGCCGAGGGCCATTGTGGTGGACCCCGTGCACGGGTGCGTACTTTCAAAGCCAAGGCCTGCACAGGGAAGGAAGTATGGCTGGGTGGGGGGAGGTTTCCAGAGCCAGTGAGGACTTTAGGGGGATGTTTACACCTGGATTAGGGGCACAGTTGTCCTCAGTGGTGAAGGAGATATAGAAAAGGGGGCTTGACATGTCAGGAAAGAAATGGGGACCCAGGCCTGCGGTGTGGCTCCATGGTGGAGTGCCTGCCTAGCCTGTGTGAGGTCCTCAGTGTTAGCAGGCCTGCCCTCTTGACTGTCTTTATCTCTGTTCTCTCTGTTGTCACACCAGCTTCATGTACTGGACAGACTGGGGGACCCCTGCCAAGATTGAGAAAGGGGGCCTGAATGGTGTGGATGTCTACTCATTGGTGACAGAAGACATCCAGTGGCCCAATGGCATCACCCTGGGTATGTTACGTGGAACACTTGTCCTTGGGCCAGGCAGTATTTGTAGGGCATGTCATAATGGCCAGGTGTTCCTAAACAAGCTCATGAACCTCTTTGAGGTTTTATCACCCACAATGTTCCCCCAGCATGGAGAACTTGGGTAGGGTGACAGAGGGCAAAAGCCACCATGGTTTTTAGGCTCACATGTGGTTAGAGCTGCTTTTCTGAGAGCTTCTTTTCTTCCTGATACTTTGAGGGCTTTTGTAAGAAGGAGAGCAACCCAGCCCAAAGAGTGTACTCCCATACCCCCAAACTGCCAGTGTTCTGGAATGTTCTAGAATGTTCCGGAATTTTCTGGCCCACCAGATGATCTTCTCACTCTGGCATCTGCATGTCCACCATTCTAGATCTTTCCAGTGGCCGCCTCTACTGGGTTGACTCCAAACTCCACTCCATCTCTAGCATCGATGTGAACGGTGGCAATCGGAAGACCATTTTAGAGGATGAGAAGCGGCTGGCCCACCCCTTCTCCTTGGCCATCTTTGAGGTGAAGCTGGGACCCTGAGAGAATGCATACCTAACAGTTTGACAAAACCTGTATATGAGGTGTAAGCACACAGGTGACGGTCAACACACATTGTCTGGTCCACGTGAGCCAAGGCTGACTTGAAAAGCTGCCCCTGACTCGGGAGAGGCTGTAGAACTGGACCTTCTCCCCTTTTCTTCCCACTGAACATCTTTGGGGTTCTTATTGTCCTATGAGGGGACCCATGGCCTCATCCATGCTAGGGCACTCTGCCTCTTAGCCACACCCCTAGTCCCCAAAGGTCTTGAAAGGCCTGAACAGTTTGTTTTCGTTTTCTTTTAGTTTTCTCTCTTGGGACCAGGATGCACTTGTGATCCTCCTGCCTCAGCCTCCCTGAGTGCTGGGATTACAGCCATGAACCACGCACCTGGCTCTGAATCAGTGATTGTTAATCAGCAATCTTCCCCTTCAGAAGACATTTGGAAATTTCTGGAGAGTTTTGGTTGCTCTCATTTCATGGGTAGTGTCCAGGGATGGTGCTAAATGTCCACCTGACAAGATTATCAGGCCCCAAATAGAACCACAGTGGGGACCCTGCTCTATATCTATGTCCTCATGTTCACAATTCTCTGATTGATTCCAAGTGTTCCACACTGGATGAACAGATGAACACATGCGGTGTGTCCATACACTGGACACACTTACTCAGCCTTTAAAAGGATAGAAATTCTGACACATGCTACACCATGAGCCTTGAGAACATTCTGCTCAGTGAAACCCAGTCACAAAAAGGACCAATACTGTGTGATTCCACTTGTAGGAGGCCCTAAAATTGGCAGATTCATAGAGACAGAAAGAATGGTGGATGCCAGGGATTAGGGAGGGAGAATGGGCGGTTTGGGTTTAATGGAGATAGAATTTCAGTTTGGGAAAATGAGGAGGTTCTGGAGATGGATGCTGGTGATGGTTGAACAGTGAATGTGCTTAATGACAACAAATGTAACACCTAAAAATGGCTGGGAGGACTGGAGGCATGGCTCAAGTGAGTTCGAACCCCAGTCCCACCAAAAAAAAAAAAAAAAAAAGCCTGGAGACATAGCTCAGTGGTACCCGCTTAGTATACATGAGGCTCTGGGTTCAACTCCCTGTACTCCCCCCAAAAAATTTATAAAAATTGTTAAGATGGTACATTTTATGTTATTTGTCTTTCATCACCGTTATAAGCTATAAAAAGAGGGCTGGCAGAGTGGCTGAAGTGGTAAAGTGCCTGCCTAGCACGCATGAGGTCTTGAGTTCAAACCCTAGTACTGCCAAAAAAAAAAAATAGTAATAATTGAAAAAAAAAATAAATTACAAAAATAAGAATGTCTAATGACCACCTAGTTTTGGTTCTTTCCAGAAATTAGGGGGTGACAGCCGTCTGTGTTCTCTTCTAGTGGCTAATGGCATTTGTCATCTTCCTTATGCCTGTGTAGGACAAAGTATTTTGGACGGACATCATCAACGAAGCCATTTTCAGTGCTAACCGCCTCACAGGCTCGGACATTAATTTAGTGGCTGAAAACCTGTTGTCCCCAGAAGACATTGTCCTGTTCCACAACATCACGCAGCCGAGAGGTAAGAGCATTTCCAGGTCAGCTGTGGAGGCTCACGCCTGTAATCCTAGCTACTTGGAAAGCTGAGATTGGGAGGATTGTGAAAAATAACCAGAGCCAAAAGGACTGGAGGTGTGGTTCAAGCAGTAGAGCACCTGCTTTGCAAGCACAAAGGCCTGAGTTCAAACCCCAGTCCCATGGAAAAAAACACCCCCAAAACAAAGCAAAACAACAACAAAAAAACAAAGCAAAAAGGACAGGTGGAGCAGCTCAAGTAGTAAAGCACCACCTAGCAGGCTCAAGGCCCTCCCTGAGTTCAACCCCCCAGTGTCACAAAAAAAGAAACTAATCAAAGAAAATTCCCTGCCATTGCCCTGGAACTTTCTAGAAATTCAGAGAATTTTCTGGACTGTTCCGTCCTCTCTGATGATTCTCACTGGGACTTCTCTTTTCTTCCACCCTAGGGGTGAACTGGTGTGAGAGGACAGCCCTCCCCAATGGTGGCTGCCACTACCTATGCCTGCCAGCCCCACAGATCAACGCGCACTCCCCCAAGTTCACCTGCGCCTGCCCAGACGGCATGCTTCTGGCCAAGGATTTAAGGAGCTGCGTCACAGGTGAGGGCTCGGGTCTTATGTCCTTACCGCTCTGGGCCTCTTTGCTCATCCGTCCAAGGAGAGAGCGAGGCCTCTGTTAGGCCTTTCCTCAGTGCAGGTGCCTGAGCTCCACAACCCACCTTTACACACACTTCCCCTTTTGATGTCTGTGTCCCTCTTCCAGCCCCCCTGGGGAGGTCATCTGACTCTAGGCATGGGTACTGAGTGAGAAAATGGCCCACGTGTCACTTCTTACCATCTGAGAAAGGCTTAATGTGAGACCGATTTTACTTTCTGTTGCTATAACTGAATACCCAAGGTGGGATAATTTATAGACAAAAGAAGTTTCTGTGGCTCATGGTTGTAGAAGCTGGGACGGCTAAGAACATAGTGCAGGCATCTGGTGAGGGCCTTCTCCCTGCATCGTAGTGTGGAGGGCATCACCTGGAGAGGCAGAGCGAGCTGCCAGCTTCTATCTTCTAGGAGGCCACTACTGCCATCATGAAGTCATCACCCCCACTGTAGATATCAGTGGCTGTTGACTTTCAGTGTGTTTAGTTGTCATTATTTCTCGGTGGCCATGACACTTGTTACCTAGTGTCAGAAGTACAGTTTTGAGTGGGGCTTGGACACGTGGCACCCAGGAAATATTTTTGTCCCCCCTGCAGAGGCTGAGCCTGTGCTGACCACCCAGAAGCCATCTACCGTCAAGCCCATGGTCAGTGTGACACCAGTGGGGACAAAGCACAAGGACACCCAGTCAGCTTCCAGCACCTCCTGGCAACCTACGGCCACCCCTGGGTTCACCACAGCAGAGTTGGTGACAATGTCCCACCAAGGTAAAGGCAGGGTCCACGGTAACCCCCATTTCATCATGTCAGGCATTTAGGTGGGGCCCTTGAAGGGCTGTGAGCAACTTGCTGACAAGATGGAGTCAGGATGGCATCTTGGCTCATTTTCCTTTTTTTTTTTTTTTTTACCTCCAGGTTTCTCACTTGCAAAGCAGGTGCTCTACCACTTGAGCCATGCCTCCTGCTCATTTTGGAGATGAGGTCCTGCAAAATATTTGCCCAGGCTGACCTCAAATCTCAATCCTCCCGATCTCAGTCTCCTAAGTAGGTAGGATTACAGGCCTGAGCAACAGGCACTGGGCAGAGTCCTGGCTCTTTCCATGACCACCTCTAACTTGAGCTGTGCCTCTCAGAAACTTTAGTTTCCCTACCTATAAAATGGGTCTGTTAATAGTGCCTGCCCACCTACTGGGGAATCATTGAGCTAAAACTTCTGAAGAACCCAAGCCGGTGGCCCCCAGAGTCAGCCACGGTGGGGACTCAGGCATCAGAAATTGTATTCAACGTTCATTTGCTGCTTTGTTTCTGGGTGTCCACCCAACAGAGACAGCTCAGGAATCCAAGAACAGTTTGATGCAATTTTAGATTTTCTTTCCTTTAAAAAGAAATTTTTCTTAAAGACAAGGTCTCCCTGTGTAGACTAGGCTGGTCTCAAACTTTGCATCCTCCTGCCTCCACCTCTGAGTGCAGGGATTACAGGTGTGTACCACCATGTCCAACTAAGGCAATATATACTTTTGTACCAATTGTGATATTTCAAAATAACATCAGCTGCTAGTGTGGTTCAAGTGGAGTGGTAGAGTGTGTACCTAAGCAAGTGGGAGGCCCTGAGTTCAAATCCAGTATTGCCCCCAAAAAACCCCAACAAAAAACATGTTAGACTGGGAAGTATAGCTCAAGTGGTATAGCACAAGGTCCTGAGTTCAAATTCCAATACCACCAAAAAGAAAAGAAAAGAAACAAAATAATATTGGACAGAGTGTAGTAGAGTACAGCTGTAATCCCAGCACTGGGGAGACTGAGGCAGCAGGATCCCAAGTTCTAGACCAGCTACAGAGTGAGACCGTGTCTTAATAACAACAATAATATTGGATTATGGTCCCCACAGGTTCCACATCCTCAGATTCAATAAAATACACATCAAAAATGCTTGTAGGGGAAAAATTGCATCCACAGGGTGCAGATGTGTTTTTCTTGTCCTCATTCCCTAAGCAATCTAGTAGAACAAGTGTTTCCACAGCACTTCCGGTGGATTAGATGCTTGGAGAAGATTGAACGCCATGGGGGGCTGGGCGCAGTGGCTCAGGTCTGTAATCCCAGCTACTCAGGAGGCAGACATCAGGAGGTTCAGGGTTCAAAGCCAGCCAGGGCAAATAGTTTACAAGACCCTATCTCAAAAAACTCTTCACAAAAAAGGGCTGGTGGAGTGGCTCAAGGTGTAGACCCTGAGTTCAAGCCCCAGTACCACAAAAAGAAAAAAAGAAAGTCTACAGGGAGGCTGTGGGTAGGTTCTATGCAAACACTAACAAGCCCTTCTTAGAAAAGGTTTGAGCACGTGGAACCGACTCCCATGGGATACTGAGGGAGGACACTGAATTATTTGGTTCCCCTGCAAGTTTTGGGTGCTCGGGTCCTGGCTGTCCCTATCCCCACCCCACTGCTTGTCAGGGAATTGATCAGCAGTTCATGCCATTGGCCACCAGGGGGCACACGCACCTGGGTGGTGCAGACTTTCCCAGCAAGAAAGAAACCAGGCATATCAGCAAGTTTCAGGCTTTTTTTTTTTTTTCACTTGCGGAGCAGCTGAGCCTTTGTTCAGCTATGAAAGATAAAACAGGAACTGTTGTGCTTGAGGGAGGCAGGAAACCTCACCTGAGGCAGTCACAGACAGGCCCACCCAGGGCTGCTCACCTTTGGCAAAGAGCCCTCCGTTTAAGGGGGAAAAGACTTCTCACCCATCTCACTGTTGCCCTAATTTAGTGTTATTATTTCTCTTCTCTCTCTCACTCTCTCTCTCTCAGTACTGGGGTTTGAACTCACGCTTCCTAGGCAGGGGCTGTACCACTTGAGCCACACTCTCAGCCTCTAAACTATTATTTTTTAATGCTGGCGGTGGAACCCAGAACCCAGAACATCACATCACTCTAGGCCCCAACAGAATCTTCTAAAATCCATGTTCAACCCCACATCCCCACTTTAAGCTGCTCATTATATCCACGTTTGACATTGTCGGTTCAACTAACTACAGGTGGAAAATATTTGAATGACCAGGCACCGGTGCTCATGTCTGTAATCCTAGTTACTTGGGAGGTGTGAGATTGGGAAGATCGTGGTTTAAGGACAGCCCCATCTCCAAAACAACCAGAGCAAAACAGACTGGAGGAGTGACTCAAGAGGTAGAGCACCTGCTTTGCAAGTGTGGAGTCCTGAGTTCAAACCCCAGTGCCACCAAAAATAAAAAAGAAATGGAAAAAACTCACATCTGTACTGAATATGCAGAGACTTTTTTCACGTTATTCCCTAAACAATACAGCGTGACAAGGATGTACAGACTGCTAACCAGGTGTCATAGGTCATCTAGGAATGGCTCAAAGTCCACAGGAGGACGTGTGCAGGTTCTGTGTAAAACTACGCTGTCCTATGAAGGAACTCGATCACCCTTGGGCATTGGTGTCTGTGAAGGACATGGACCCAATTCTCCAAGGAAACGAGCCTGTGTGGCCCATCTATGACTTGGGAGATGCTCCCAGTTCCTTGAACTTGGACAGGGTGCTAGGTCCGGCAATTTCCTTCTCGTGAGTATTGTCATTCATCTGCTCAGATCTGGACCTCACTCTGTCCCTTCTCCCCCACAGTCCAGGGTGACTTTGCCAGCAGAGGGAACAAGGAGAAGCAGCCACAGAGAGTGGGGGCTCTGACCATCGTCCTTCCCATCTGTAAGTACCACCCAGGCCACACGCTTCACCAGGCTTACACCTGGGGATTAAAGTCAGACAGCTCAGGTGCCAAGAAGGAGAAGGGACGAGGATTCCAGGGTTAGGGATTGGGGTGGGGGCAAATGAGCATGTTCTGGTGAACGGATCTCCTTTTGTTTATTTGTTTTGAGGCAGGGTCTCACTATGTAGTCCATGCTGACCTCCGACTTTTGATCCTCCCACTTCAGCCTACCTGTTGTAGGAATTACAGGCATGCATCACCATGCCCCGCTGAGTCTATCTCTTTTCACAATGAGGAAGTATTGCTTTAGATTCCAAACAAAACCATTATCAAGTGAAAAGGCCAGGCAAGAGTCCAAGGTACCAGCCAGCACTGGTGGCCTGAGTCCACTTGCACAGCTGAATTTCTGGTCTTGGGCTCAGCCGTGTGACAGGGCCACCTCTGCCCACAGTGCTGATTGTCCTGTGTTTCGGGGCCTTCCTGCTATGGAAGAACTGGCGGTGAGAAACATCAACAGCATCAACTTTGATAACCCCGTGTACCAGAAGACCACGGAGGATGAGGTTCACATCTGCCACAGCCAGGACGGCTACACCTACCCCTCGGTGAGCAAGGTGCCCCACTCCAGCCTCACCTGAGGCTGACAGCTCTGCAGGGCCCACTTCCATCAGTGTGTCCAGTCTTCCAAGCCTCAGGCTCTTCCCACAGGCCTGAGGGTGGAAGAGGGTTTGCCTGGCACGGGTGAGGTCCTCAGCTCCATCCCCAGCACCACATTTTTTTTGAGAAGCATTTGTGGGACTGACGGGATGCAGTTTTCTATAAGGGAGGGTAAGCGTCCCTGACTGGGGAGTGTGTGGCTTACACAGAAAGCAGCATGTGCAAAGGCCCGAGGCAGGGCTGTTCCTACTGTGTTTTAGGAACTTGTTGAAGTCCCATGTGGCTGGATTGGAGAGTGAGAGGAAGTGAGGGTGGGGTGGGGGGTATCCCAGAATCCCATCTAAGGCCTGGGAAGACTTTAGCCTTTATTTTGAGGGCGGTGGGAGCCCTGGAGGGTTCTTGAGCAGAAGAGGAACTTGTCCCATCCCACGTTTTCACAGGTGTCCTCTGACGACTGTATATGGGGGGACCAGGGCAGAGGGAAAGGTGAGAAGTAGGTCACTCCGGTCATGTTTATGGCATGTTGGACTGATTATTTCCGGCGTTGACTATTTTGTTGACAGAGACAGATGGTCAGCTTGGAGGATGATGTGGCTTGAACAGCTGCCGAGAGCCCTGTTCCTCTCCGGAACCTATTGACACTCACCGGCAGGAAGGACATTTTCTCCCCAGACCCTTGACCGACTGCCCACCTCCTGCCCAAGACCTTGACCCTGGAGGTGCTGCTGGCGGCCTGTCTGCCTGAGCTTTGTTTTATATATTTATTTGTCTGGGGCACAGAGCAGGCTGCTTGTGGCACCCATTGAAGGGACACAGGCTGGGATTTCTGTCATCTTCCTGTATGAAGGAGAAGAGGAAAAGCCTCAATGAGCTGGGTGGCATCTCACTTCTACTTTAGTCCCGCCTTTTTCTTCATCACAACACGGAGGACCAAAGGATGCAGGTGGAGAGAAGCAAGTGGCTTTAAATGTGTGACAGTGTCCCAGTCTTCTCTGCACCCACCCACAGCCCCTAAACTCAGGAGTATGAGTGTTTACCTCTGGCCTCTGAGTTAGCCTTCGCCCTGCCTCCCCCAATTCAGGTCTATGGAGCTGGGTTTGTGGCCTGCAGAAGCCAGAGAAGCAACTTGTGACATTCATGACTGAAACGGCCACCAACCCATTCCAACTTGTTCATATGCCGAAACTTTGCCAGTTCCCCCAAGGAACAGCCTCAGTCACCAGTCACCCTTAATATTTATTAAGTGCCTGAGATACCTGGTTCCCTTGCTCACAAGGACCCACCACCTTGTCCCTCTATGAGTGTCCTCAGCCGAGTGGTGGCCGTCTGGACCCCACCCCTGGCCCCTTCTGTCTGGAGCCTGCGCCTCACTTCCTTAAGCTCCTTGCACTTTCTGAGTTCAGGGTTGTACATTGTGCAAAGCTGACGTTCTGATTTTGCACTGTTTTCTGTCATGTGTGTTGGGATTTGGTTGCAGGCCGGTGGCCTGGCTTGATGGATGTGGGAGACATGCATGCGACAGAAAGAAAGGTCAGATGGATGGAGACTTTGAGGCCATGACTGCAAAAAGCTGGATAGCCATTTGCTTGCTTTTTCCCTTTATTTTCGATGCTGGGGATGGGATCCAGGGCCTCAAGGCACTTGTCACTGAGCCACAGCCCTGGCCACCACCCTTTTTTCCTTTTTTGAATTTATTTTTTGGCGGGGGGCAATACTGGAGTTTGAAATCAGGGCCTTGCACTTTCTAGGAAGGTGCTCTACCACTTGAGCCACAGTCCCCAGCCCTCTTTTTTTTTTTTTTTTTCTTTTGAGACAGGGTCTTGCTGTGTAGCCCAAGCCAGCCTTCAAACCTAATCCTGCTGGGATTACAGGCATGAACCTCTGGGTTTGTTTTGTTTTTGTTAACCATCTTCCCAGGTAGCATTTCTTCTAGACAAGTGCTTCACAGCCACAAATCTCTACAAGGTGGTCCTCCCTGGATGTGTCACCACCTTGCACGGCATTTTCACCCTGTGCAAAATCTGTCATTTGCTTACACTTGGGAAGTGAGAACACTTCTGAAATAGCCACAAATATCGTCACTTGGAGACTCAGAGACATCTAGCGGGACTGTCTGGCTGTCCACTGCCCCATGATGAGACACTGCCCCACCCTCTAGGAAACAGTGACTGGCTTTTCTCTCTGCAGCATAAATAGAACCCCGTGTGGAGCGGCACTCATTGTTACCTTTGCACTTTGTATGTTGTTGAAAGTTATCACTTATATATATATATATATATATAAATCTATTTATTTTTGCAAACCTGGGTTGCTTTGATTGTTAGCACTGTTTCTTTGGGCTGTGCAGGGGGTGACTGTGTCCGAGATGCCTGGTGTTTAGTACAGAGATGATTGGCACAGGCTGGACTGAGCAGCCTTGAGTGAGAGTGACGAGCAGGTTGTGTGTGCGTGTGTGTGCGTGAGATGCTTTTCTGGGGCATGGGGACCGCTTTTTAAACCACTGTATGGAATGTTTTTTATAGCCTGAATGTCTTACTGTGATTGATTAAATTTCTTAAGTGAGCCATTTGGCTAAACCTGATGGGCTGTTGTTCTTCCACCCCCTCCTGTCCTCCATCTGGCTGTCCATGGCGTAGACTTCCCCCAGAGGCGTCCAGAGCCCAGGGTGGGCTGCAGTCTCTAGAGGATAAGGAGCCACGACTCCTGGTGGGTGATGCTGTGCCAGCGGCTGATGTTGCACTTGACGGAGAGCTAAGCCCGCTGTCTCACAGGACAGCAGAGCAAAGCTGAGACCATGCGGGGTGTGGTCACAACAGCTGAGCCTGGGATGCTGGTGGGAATCTGAGGCCCCAGCTACTCAGGAAGCCCAAGCAGGAAGATCATGTGAGCCAAGGGAAGTTCGAGACCAGCCTGGGCAATAAAGTGAGACTCCATGTCTGAAAGAGATTGGAGGAAGGGGGGAGCCACTGGAATCCTAGCTACTTGGGAGGCTGAGATCAGGAGGATCGAGGTTTGAGGCCTACCCAAACAAATAGTTCTCTAGAACCCTATCTCCAAAATCACCAGAGCAAAATGGACTGGAGGCGTAACTCAAGCAGTAGAGCACCTGCTTTGCAAGCATGAAGCCCCGAGTTCAAACCCCAGTACTGCCAAAAACAAAACCAAAATGCAAAAAACAACTTCAGGGAATTTTTTCACAACAGAGCAAGGGGGAGGAGATTCCCTGCCCGACCCTGTCCCCATCTCTCACCAGAGATTCGCACCCGCTGAACCCAACAGGAGCCTGGAAAACGGAGGCGCACTGGGGGTTCTGGGCCTGACCTTTGAGCCTCAGTTTCCCCCTCTGAAAACGGGTGTAAATTGAATCCACAGTGGGCTGGGATCTGAGAGGGGTGTGGGACACAAGCAGGGGCTTGCCATCTCCTCTGTGCCCACAGGGTGGCACTCCTTCCTTCTTTCTGCCTTTGTTTTGGGTTGGCTTCACCACCCGTGGGAGGCAGAAGCAGGAGGCCACCCGGGGCCTGCAGCGGCCGGCTGGTAATTGCTTCATTGGCGGAATCAAAGCTCAACCGTGTGGCAAACAGGGTAAGTGAGCGGGGACGGCCTGGAGCACGCCGCCGAGCCCGCGTGCGGGGCCAGGCCGGGTGCGTGCAGTGCATGCAGAAGTGGTGAAGTTCTGGTATCTGCCCTCAGCTGTTCTGAAAGAAGTTACTTAAAACCTTCATTGAGCTGGCAAAGCGCTGGAGCCATGAGTGCCTGCCTAGCAAGCAGGAGGCTCTGAGTTCAAATTCCAAGTTGCTGCCAAAAAAAATCAACCCTGCACTGAGGGGCTGAAGGTATAGTCAGCAGCAGGGTGCTTTGCCATGCACCCCTAGCACCAAAAAAAAATATATATATATATATATTATATAAATATATAAATATAAATATTTTATATATATAAATATAAATTATATTTTATATAATTATATAATTATATATAAATTAAATTATAATTTTATAATTATAAAATGTTATATAATTATTATAATTATATATTTTATATTTTTATATAA